ACCTTCGTCAAGTAGAAGGACAAAGAGGACAGCAAGATGATACATACAGGATAACTGCGGGAATCGAACCCGCTACCTCCACGTTTCGCGCATTGTTTAGCGAACGTCATGAGTAACTGTTGCAAACTCATATCAGTTATGAAAATAGCATATTATTCGCTTAAAAAAAATTATGCGACTATGGAGCATTCGAGAAACAGTCTTAATTCTAGAACTGTCACACTTTTAAACTAGTACTGTGAACATCATTGATTCCTAGCAAGATCGGTAAAATATAAAGTCAACATTTATTTCCCATAAAAAATAAAAATCAATCGTAATTTCTTTTTAACGCTTTTTTTTGAGCAAAAAAAAATATTATTTTTAATTTTATTAATAAATACAAGGAGCTAAAACAAAACATTAATTCACAAGTTTTAAGTTGAAATTTAAAGGCTTTAATCAAAGGAGTTTCTCTTTCCAAAGTCCTAAGAAGAAGAAAAAATTGGTTATAGATCCCAAAAACGATGCAGTCTTAAAAAGCCTATAAAAGTTACGTTTTAACTTTGTTGCATAGATCATTCTTCTTAATTCTTCTGCCTGTAACATTAACATTTTATTACAATACTATTATAATTTTTGAAATAATTCTGAATTTTAATATTACATTTCTGCTGTTTTGGGTGTTCAAATTAACGTTTGATTTTGTTTTGCTGAGTAAAAACTGTAAGACATAGAAACTTGAAATTTCAAAGGTCTGTAAAAATGTATTGTAGAACAATGGAATAAAAAAAGGTATTATTCTCGATAATTGGTTCCAGAATTATTAAATGTTAAACTACAGATTTCAAGAATGCAACTACATGAGAATTAAAATTTGGTATGATGAAAGGGTTATATTTGCCTGTGAACGTCGCAAAGTATATTCGAAATTTCAATTTATTCAAAAATAAATGTAATTTAAAATGTTTTTTTTTTTCGCGAATTCGTTTCATACTTTTTTTCTGCCGCACGTTATATTTTGCTTTGCCGAACAAAGTCTCTAAGACTTAGAAATTTGAAATATCGAAGGTGAGTACAAAATTGTAGAAGCAGTTTGATGTAATAAAAAAAATTTCGCATTCGATTATTAATTCAAAAATTATCAACTGTTAAACTTTTGATAAAAAAAAATACCGTATTTGGTCGATTTGCAGCCAGCTGAAATGCAGCTATGGAAATAAATATGAAGTCATTTTTATTTATGAATTTAATACGATTTCTTTTTTCAGAATTCCAATTTGTCCGAAGGCTTTTGCAATTTCAAATATTTTTCGCAATTTCTTGTTTATTTATCAATCGTGATAGAAAATTTTATTTCTTACTCTCGAGATTTTCATTTCATAAGTTAACGCTTAACTTGATGCTTAACGCTTAACATAAGGAAGAAAAAAAAAAGAAAGAAAAAAAGATATTAGATACTGCTATATATACATATTAAAATTTATATCGAAATTATGAAAAACGCAAGAGAGATAAAAACCTTTTCCAATTTGAATTTTTATGTGGCATAAAATCACATTTTATATGTCATATATAAAATTACCTCTTGTTGAGTCGCGCATTCTGTTTTACTAATTAAAATTTTTTTCAGGTATAGTTATTCTTAAAATCCAGTTAATCATTCATTCCATTACGATTAACATATTAACAAAATTGTCTTGCATAAAACACTACTAATATTTTAAAAACAAAATTATGTTTTTTTGAAAATATTGACTTTTAAAGGATAAAAAATGTGAAGGAGAAGCAACCATTACAGTTGATAAGTGGAAACCATTGATTATAAAAAATATAAATATTTGTAAGAAAAAGTCAATTTGCACGAAAGCAACATTTCTTTTTCTTCCTTCGTATAGTTTATTTCAGTACTTCTGTTGACGTAAAAATATACAACAATTGCAGAAACAGCATTTAATTTTCCTTAAAATTTCGTAATTTATCCGCGTATAATAAAGATTTGCGAATGTAGTGCATATAATATCTACACTTAAAATGGCACATTTGTAATAGTCTGTATTTTATTATTTACATTTCTAAAACTCACATAACAATAAGTTTAAATATTTGGTCTGTACACAAGTAGTGAAGGAAGGAAGAAGTACAAAGAAAATACAAATTTGAGAAAAACGAATTTTTATTTTACAAGCTGAGATACATTGTACAGAAATTCATCTTTAAAAGTCACAATTCATAAAATGTTTTCAGAGACTTCCATGTTAATGGACGACTTTGAAAAAAAAATGAAGAAAAAAAAATGCCTAACACGTACAATGCAAATCACAAAGAGAATAAAGCACGAAATAATCACAAAGGGAAAAAAAGATAGTTTTTATGACACATTCATTGCTTTTTAATTTTTCTTAAATACATGAATAGTTCATACGAGGAAGCACCAAATTGATTCGCCCCAAAGGCTGTTCTAAAGTTTTTTTTTTTAAAAGAATTGACATAATACAAAGTGGTCAGTAATTACATTCTTAATATCTTGGCTAAAACGAAATGGAAAACAAGTAGTGTGTAGAATGATTTATGTGGAGAAATGTGTACAGATGGACGGACAGATGTTCCGATTATCGAATTAGATTTTTCGATTATCGAATAAGATGTTTCGATTATCGAATAAGATAATCATGAAATTTGTGAAGATTATCAAGTAACAGATTAAGGATTTAATGGTATATGTACAAGTTGCCATTTTCCAGAAATGGAGATGTCTTTCATCACAATAACATCACACTTCAAATTGTTTTGGCCAGTGTATTTATTTCCTTAATAAGTAATTGTTTGTTCTACAATAATAAAAGTCAAGAGATTTGGTTAAATGAGTGATAGATTTTAAACATGATGATTTTTTAATCTTTTTTTTTCCTTCTACAATTTTAATAAATGATTAAATAAATGAATTTAAATAAATTATATAAACGCCCAAATTTGAATAAATTAAATTTAGAATCCAAAAAAAAACTATACCTTCTTTAGCAAACTGCCACCTGTTGAAGTAAATTTAAATATCTCGGCCATCCCCCTCTTTCTTTCATTTAAACTATTCTCACATCACTTCGTAAATAACCAGCTGAAGAAATTATTAACATTTTTATATTATTAACATAAGATTAAAAAAAAAAAAACTTTTTTTGGTTGTTTCGAAAGTAATTTTGGTTTTCACATACCTAAAAGTTCTTGATACTACTCGCAATTTTTTTCGAAATCAAACTGATTTTTTTCCCCTAAAAAAAAGGGGGGGTGATTTTAGATAGTGGCATGGTTTAATTACACAAACGATTCTATCCACTAAATTCAAACGACATTACACACTTAAGGTAATAAAATCAAACAATGTTAAAGAATCATACCTTTAAAAAAAAANTAAATTATATAAACGCCCAAATTTGAATAAATTAAATTTAGAATCGAAAAAAAAACTATACCTTCTTTAGCAAACTGCCACCTGTTGAAGTAAATTTAAATATCTCGGCCATCCCCCTCTTTCTTTCATTTAAACTATTCTCACATCACTTCGTAAATAACCAGTTGAAGAAATTATTAACATTTTTATATTATTAACATAAGATTAAAAAAAAAACTTTTTTTGGTTGTTTCAAAAGTAATTTTGGTTTTCACATACCTAAAAGTTCTTGATACTGCTCGCAATTTTTTTCGAAATCAAACTGATTTTTTTCCCCTAAAAAAAGGGGGGGTGATTTTAGATAGTGGCATGGTTTAATTACACAAACGATTCTATCCACTAAATTCAAACGACATTACACACTTAAGGTAATAAAATCAAACAATGTTAAAGAATTATACCTTTAAAAAAAAAGAACATAGTAATTTAATTGTTTACAATGTATTTTAAACAAAAATTCTCTCAAATTCTAATTTCAAAAAAAAAAAAGTATTTTTATTAATTGAATGTAAACTTCAGTGGAATCTGTTATGCTGAACTAAACTTCAACGAATTCGATTATAAATTTAGTGCCAAAAAGAAAATTTAAAAAAACTACCAAGAAAGCAAAACAGAACATGGCTGTTCAAATTCTTTGAGAAGATATCATCTCAGCTCATATCAAATTCTTTGAGAATCAAGGAGAGAATATCTTCTTTTTTTCCCCCTCAAATGCTGTTAAAAAAATTAATTTGTTAATTGTAATTAAAAGATAACTAACCAAAATTACTTTAACATCCTAATAACGAGGCAGTTTTGGAAATTAATTAGTAAAATGCAAAGGGTCTCATAGTTTAAGTAATTAATTAGTAGCAATTTAAAATATCACAATAAATCAATTATGTTTTTATTCATTATTACTGCCTAATTTTTTAAAGTTAATATAATGTTACAATTAACTGTTTTTCTCCAATTATGTGATATTTAAATTTAAAGCAGTTGCTAAATAAACATGTGAATGAATTCCTAAGAAGAAATGTGAGTAATGAAAGAAAACATGTTGATTGACTCTGAGAATTCGAAGAAAAGAAAAGTTTGGAAGATTCTTTTGACTTGCACATATTTATATACATTTATCTACAATCAAAATGCACAGAAGTATGACAGAGATTAAAATTGGTGAGAATGATTCGTAAGTACTAACACGCATAATGTTGAAACTATTTTTTCCTAATTAATATTTTGAGACAAAAAAAAATCTACTAAGCCAATATTACGGATAAATATACAAATTAAACATTCTCAAATCTTGATAAAATATGCGAAAAATAAATATTCGTAACCTATGGATACAATTATTGAATATTTATATACCTCTCTTTTAAGTTGAAATCCATCTAAGCTTTTAAAATTCAAAGAGACAAATTCTATCACATAAAAAAACAAGAGAAAAACACACATTATAAAACACTTTACGCAAAACAAGTTATAATGCCAACGTCAACCCCTCCGTTCTTAAATAAATTATGAAAAATGCAACACGGATATGTATTACTATATTGCAACATAAAATGATTTCAACGACTGATTAAGCATAAAATTCAGCCACTGAATACATTCAAACACATATTTTATACAAGAAAAAAAAAATCGTGCTCGAAGAACAAAATTAAATCAATTTAACACAGAATGCCCCTTGCATAAGGACCATGAATTAAGCTCAAAAATATCTAAAAATCATTCTGAAAAATATTACACACAAATCACTTAATTTCTGATGCACAGAAGTTGCAATGTCTTTAAAATATTCTTCTCAAACAGGATAGCCTTACATCTGTCGTAACAATGAAATCGTACAGATTACAATTACAAAGACAAAATCTTTCATTCAATGTACATAGAAAAAAAATTATTTTAAATTTAATCATAATTTATTATTTTTAGTATTTCTCCAACCAATGTTTTTAATCCTTTCAAAGGCAAAATAGATTTTGTATCGGATATTTTGTCATTAGATTACATTGGATAAAATGTTGAGCTTAATTTTAAATAACCAGAATTTGTTATACACACTCATTGTGTTCTCGGAATAAAGAATAACTAATATTATTAGCTAAGTGTAGGAGTGTAGTAGGACTTTAACATGCCCGTACGCCGGAATGTGGTTATTTATCCGGTAGTTTATTGAACATATTACTCATTTTCACTCTATAATCTGAATTTTAAAAAAAATATATATATAGTATTATTTGCTCGTTATGCTAGCAAATTGAATACTAACTTTGCTAAAGTGCTAGGTTAGAAAGCAACTGTGCTAGATTACAACAATTACACAACTGCGAAATTAGCCATCCATTTTTCAGCTGCTGTTATATTTTAATTCCTTATAGCTGTTTCTAACAATAATGAGGTAAACAATAATTCCGCATGGAAACTTTTTAAAACGGTTCAATTTATAAGTTTTATTAGCAAATAATTCGCAAATCTGTAAGTTCATATATAATGCAAACTAATTTTTATGCAAGAAAAAGTGAAATTAAGTATGAAAATAAAAATATTAAAAGACTGCTTCTCCGTAAATGCAGAGAGAAATTACAGAGGTTGCAATAAAATTAGATAAGTTAGGTATAGAAAAAAAATTTGATAGCTTCAGATTATTTGATACTTATTGATCAAATTTTATCTTTGAAAATATTAGATTCCTCTCTACGGTGCAGGGACATACATTCTATAAAAAATATATCTATATTTCTTTGCACTATAGCATTAGCTGAGTCTAGAGTCAGACAATAAAAGTATGTTGCAGGTAATAAATGAAGGTTGGTTCAAATATTGATTCTATAACACTCCAGGGTTATAGAAACTATATTTATATGATCAGACGGATTCTGTTAACTGTTTCCTCTATATGGTTTCGTAACGAGCAGTCTGCATAGACCAGCTGTTCCCAATTTCTTCCGACTAAGTAACCCTAAATAATCAAGCTTCTTTTGCTAAAACAAATGAAGATTTCTAATTTTTTTGAAAGTATTTAATGTGAAAATTTAAAGGTATGAATTTGTTCTTTTTGTAAGCATTTTTTAAAAATGAAGCACTATTACGGTTTTCAAAAAAATAACTGTTATATAAACGTTGAGAACAGTTATCAGCGAAACGAAATTCTTTATTCGTGAATTTAGCCATTTCATTTTGAATTGGAAAGCTCTCTAAGAAATACTCATAGAAGTATACTTACGGAATACTTAGGGATAGTATGCAATTTCCTGAACATTCGCACGAAATATTTTTACATTACGGCTAGTACATCACGTGTTACTCCTTACGGTATTTAAGTGCATCTGGTTCATACATTATTTCTCGTGAAAGATGGCTAAAAGGTTAAATGGTTCATTTTTAAGAAGTCTGAGTTGCAGAATGTGATGGATTAACCTGCACAATTTCAAACGTTAAGGGGAATTATAAAATAAAAACTGGAAGTAAGGTCCCACTGCCCTTGAAAGGATCAAAATTCAAAAGTAAGTTTTCTGAGAATAATTTTTTTGTTACGCATAATAATGTGCTTTTCATTTCCAAACAAGTGTGAATAAATACACAAGAAAATATGGTACATACTGTAAAGTCTCTCAATAAGTGCCTTTGTGTCACATTACTTTGAGTTAGCTAAGAGACTTAAAAAAAATTTCGGAAATACTTAATTATTATAAATTTCCTAATCCTTTATAAACAACTTAATTTTCATTAGAAAAGAAAGTTGCAATATATTTAATAGATATTTAATTCATATCAGTTTAGTTATAATAATTAATTTAAAATAAAGAGTTTGAAATAAACCTAAATGACAGATTTAGACAATTTAAAAATTGAAAAGCTTCAAATTGATTGCTTAAATGAGGTTTACTTCTTTATTTAGAAGTAGCACTTATTTATAGCAGCATTAAATTAAATAAAATGTCAATCAAGATTGAGATTATTTTCTCTGAAACTTTCTGATAGGGAGTTTCCTAAAATGTACAAATTGAGTAGTCTACTGAAAAAAAAAGGGGGAGGGGAAGAGTTGGCAGCTTTGACAACCACATTTAGTATTGCCTTTAAATTTAAAAAAAAATAGTAAAAATTTTTTTTATTTTTCTCTATAATGCAGCCTGTGGTTTTAAGTCATTGCTTCCATCTCTTAATAAGAAGTGTATAATTTTTAAATTTGTTTCAAGTTGCTTAGCAAACTCAAAATATTCAAATAAATAATGATTAACAAAACAAAAACAAATACAAATGGTAAAATAGCCTGCATGAATAGTGAAACAAAACTAATACAAGCATTTTAAAGAAAAAAATGTACAACATCAATATGTCACATAACACTGTTGAATCATAAACACAAAAATTTCACGCTTGCTCCCTGAGATACTGTACAACTTTCTCTTACGTGAATTTTTATAACCATAATTCATACTCTTAATGCACACAAATCACGCAGACAATTTGAGTCAAAAAAACACAAAACAACAAAATAAATACTAAAGCCAGGAACTCATTGGATAATGTAATTACCCATTAAAATTAACACCTTAAATTAAAAAAATGCTCTCTGGAAGCAGCTTAAAAACCTCAAAGAAAAAAAAAGAGAAAATTCAAACTTTTTAACTTTTTTTTTATAGATAAAATCAGAAATAAAAGCTTGGTAAATAAACGCATAGTTCAAAATTTCTTTTAGAACATTAAGCTAGAATATACCTAAAGAAACTAAACCATATTTTAAAATACAGTAAATTAGAAATGCAGAGAAGGGAAAATTTGAAGGAAATTTAAAAGAAAAATAATTTCCTTACAAAAAAAAAATTATGAACGCTTACATTTCTATCACAAAATTTAAAAAAAAAAAGTTACTGTAATTGTTCCTAAAATGTTTCAACTAAACTTTTTTCTTATATTAACATTTATAAATTAATTTCATTAGGAAATTTAGATGTCAATAATTATTTTTATATTAAAATTTCATAAAAATTACTATCTTCATAAATTACAATATCGTTAAAATTCGAAAATGAAAATTTCTAAATTTCATACTTGATCCATTTTTTAAACTAAGAAAAAATCATGAAAATTTAAACATTAAACGAAATAATAAAACTTTAACTACTGATCAACAAACTTTCAATGACTTAATTGCGTATTAAAAATATAAACATTATTGAAAAATAATTCAAATATCGCACGTAAAGTACCTGTTTTACCATTGATATTTATGCATTTTACTTCCCAATCGTTATGAATTAAATTCATGTAAATAAGCAACCCTAATAACAATGAATACTGATGTAATCGAAATGAAAACAAACCTAATTCGTTATTTGATTGGAAGACATAATGGAAAAATTAAAACAAAATGACAATTTGTATTTAAATTCAGCCAGGCTAAAAAAAAATTTTTTTTAAATGACAAGATATGAGTGGAATACAGTCTATTTGTAGAATTTAAAACATGAAATAAAGCTAAAAGCACTAAGTTACGTTTATACTCAAATCGAAATAAGTATTCAAAATAAAAATGGCATCATAAAATCCAAAGAGATAACAATTTAAAAGCATTGTTAAAAAGTCAGAATTAAGAAACTTCTTATTTACATTATTCTACATAATCACAATTAAAGGTTAAGTCACAGCTTATATGCTCCAACAATAGACACGAAAACTTTAAAAACAAGAACGAAAAAAAAAAAAGAAGAAAAAGAGATTGACGCTTGTTCACAATGTACATTTGATTATGAGAATTAGAGTCACTTTACATAAGTGTCTGTGGTTGTGGTGACAGCCAGTGTTTGATCAGAAACTGTACAGCTTAAGTCATTAAGAGTTCAGAAATTTTTTTTGGTTGATTTTGTAGAAGTCGTCCAAAACAATAGCGAAGCAGGGGACAAGAAAGACTATTCTGAAGTAATCTTCAGTCGAAGGAAAAAAGATTCAGGTGTAGTTTGGCAAAAAAGCTGCTTCTTTGAAAGTCTAGAATATCACTAGTTTTGAACACAACACATAAATTAACATTTGGTTCAAAGCCAAAACAAGTTTTTCTTATGTTTGTGTTTTAGTATACAAAAAGGCACAAGGGGTCTTTTTCAGGCGATTTGTCCGCTAATGGCGTTTATTGGAGAATTTATGAGCATATAGTACGCCTTGGTACAAAGTGCCATTCACTTCCATGCTAACCATCAGGGATCCATCTTCTAAAGATCTTCCGTCAGGATCTGAAATAAAAATACGAAAATTCAATAAAAAATTTAAACGAAATTAATTACCTATACTAAAATAGTGAGCAAAATGAAAGACAGAACACTTTAATAATTTTTCATTTAATGATCGGATTACCTCATATTAAGATGCAATCTTTATGGTACCATATATATATATATGGTCTATATATACACATATATTAATTACTTTACACTCGTGATATCTCTTAGTTGCCTTATATGTCGCAAAAATTACATCCGTGGAAAGCTCTATTTAAAATAAAATACTATTAAACTAAAAATAAAGCCAATGCAGTAGCAATTAGACGTCAACCTTGGGATGTAAAAGCATTTTACGCGATTAATTTTTTGTTGTTTATGTATTTCATCATTCAATGATTTTCTCAATCATTTTGTTATTCTCTTTGTTGGTTTGCTTGAGTGCGATATGAAATAAAAAAGTTTGCACCTCAGCCAAAGAATATACACAAAGACATTTGCAAACCCAAAAAAGAAATATTCAATACCCAAAAGGGAAATATTAAATGCCCAATAGTGGAATACACATAGCCAAAGAATATGTGTACTCCTTTCTATGTTTAGCGTTGCATCGCCTCTTTCTTTCTTTAAAAGTTCTTTTTAACGATTAATTTTAGAAATTAAAACTATATTTTCTTTCTTCATACTTAAAATACAATATGTTAACAATGTATTCTTCGAAACACGGTGGCGACCTTTCTATTGGAGAAAAATTTGAATATTTTACGAAGATAAATGACAAAAAGAACTTACGTGAGCTGCTAGTGATTCTAATATTTGTGCTGGGCATATTTAGTGATTTTGGTGGAAGCCTGTCATCTTCCATCTTCAGCCTCTTTGGATGAGGTGTTTCATCATTCAGGTGAGGCTTACGAGAAGCCATGTTCAAAGGTTTGTGGTCCCGCCGATCTGAATTCCGCGTTTCCAGATTCAGGGCCTCTTGCTGGGGCATAGCCATGGGATTAGGTGTGGACGGGACGCTATTGCAATTTTCCTCATCGCCTGAAAGAAACGTAAAAAGTTATTCATTTTGAAAAAAACAAACAGACAAAAAAGCAGTATGAAATAAAAACTACTGAAGTAAATATTTTCAAACGCAAACACGTTAAATGGTAGATAAGATAAGAGAACTGTGTCATTCCAGTATTACTCATTGACGGTAAATGTTTAAGCATGTACAAGAACACAAATCGAAAGTCGAATAAGTCGACCAGTATTTTTTACCCTACATTTCAGTAACAGTATGAAATTCAACTGATATAAAATTTCAGAATACGAATGATATAAGATAAGGCTATAATCTTTCGAATGATTTGAAATACTAGGATGCCGTATAATTGGAATAATAATCATGGATAATGGAGTGAAACATTCAGAATTCTAACATAGTTGTAATTACAAATATAAAGGGTAAAGAATTATTAAAATAAATTAGGTATTATTAAACTTTTACAGTGATTTTTTCGATGAATTTTCTTAGTTAGTCAACATCTTCAATACTTCGATACAATAATCCCATTTGTAATTTTATGCATATTTCAGAAAGTTTAATAGCTATGGTATCTTCCCCAGTTCAGTAAAAAAATAATAAAAACATTATTTCAAAATAAGGTGCAAGGTAATTATAAAGGTATTAGTTAGGAATAAGATAAAGTACGTTGATTAAACAATCATTTTTATCGTTTCTAATTAATAAAAAATAAGAAAGTAAATTTTATATTGCTTAGTTAATTTATTTCAAGTTTAATAATTTTATACAATTTATTTTATTTACTTAACACTAAAAAGACTGTAACTTAGTGCATACCTATATTGCCCAAAAGCAGTCAAAATGACTGAATTGGGGGAAAATAAATAATGTGTAAAGAAATATGTTTAAAATTAATTTTTAATATTTTTTATGTTATTTACAGTTACATTACAAGTTATTAGTAAATATTAACAATAAAAAAAATTATATGTTGTAAAAAAAGACACAAAATTCTACGAAATTGTGTCATTATATACATCCTTGTTTTCCTGATTGAAATTAAGAAGCAGTCAAAATGACTTCCTTGGGCAATCTAGTGTTAAAGGAACAAACTTTCCCTTAAAAGGATAAAAGTGAGAAAAAAATATCAGTATACGATAAAACATAAATACTTAAAAAGAAATCTTTTTCTCATTATGATACATGAAAATCTTTAATTGATTGCGTCTTCTTCTGTATTGATAAGGATATATTGTCAATTATCCAGTTGATTTTAAACATAGCTATGATCAATTAAAAGGAATTAACGCGACACTTATTTACTTACGTTTTATCATAGCTGCCAATTCTTTTATGGGAGTCTGTATGCCTAAAATACCATGAATTATTATTTAAAATTTGAAAATAAGCACATTAATACAAATAAAAATAATAATTTGAATGAAGATTTCGTTTACATTTCCAACTGCTTCCAAACATTTAATTCCTAAGAATAAGAGTAAAAATAATGTATCTTATAAGTAAAATACATTCTTAACTAAGCTCAGTCAGTCTAATTACAAATAATGAACTTTTTAAATAGATAATAATTTCATAATTTCAGGATATTTAGTATTAGTCAAGGTCATTTAAAAGATAACAAATAAAAATACAATAAAGTAAGTAAAAAATTGCAAGGCTCATTATAATGTACAAAAAAATATTTATATAAACTAAAATAAATAAATAAATAAAAAGTGCCAAACATCAATTTGTTTCTGTGCAAGAAAGGTAAACTTAAAAAGGTACAACAGCCACAAATGGATTGAATGTGCCTCAATGTGATTAAATTTAAAAAAATCTACTCAATATAAATTATATATAAAAAAAATTACAATTATTTTAATTTATTAATTTATATTTCTGGAACTATAAAGTATGACATCAACATAAAGAAAACGTCTGAAATGTTTATATTTACAACAAACGATTATTTATTCTTTATGACATAAATTAGGGAAATTTGATAAAATATTTCTCTCTTGCCAAAAGCGGAAGAAAATTAAATTTAACTTGGTCTACTAAATTTACTTATAATAATCTGAAATTATAAAAAGATAAAAATAAAAGACAGTTTAAATTTTTTTTTTCTTCGAAATTTCAATATTTAGAGCAAACGATTAAAAGTTCTTTATTAAATAAACTATGTTGAATACATAACTTAATTTTCTTAAAAAAAAAAGAATTAATTTCCGATTTATTTATTTTTTTTTTCGAAAATATAATACTGAGAATGGACGGAGAACATTTACACTGCATGTATTTCAATTTTTACAGACGTCGAGCACTTTTAGAATCGGTAGCAGTCGTCGGTAATACAACTTGATAAATTTAGTGGAACAACCTTTCCAAGGGCGAAATCATCTCCTCCCATACGAAATTTAAAATTCCAAAACAAGCTTTGACTAAATAAGTAATATATGAGGAGAGATTTTATTCGAAGCAACATACACAAGAGTCAGCGGGAGTTCCGAGGCACTTTGACATACGAAAAATAGCTGCTGCTGAGTGCAGGTAAGTACATAAAACTGAATGGTGCACATAATTATCTTGGATCTCTAAAATAATTAAGGATGAGAATGCATATAAACGTGAAGGTAATGCAGAAAGTATAAGGGGAAAGGGGAAATGAAAAAAAAAAAGAGAATTAACGGGGCACGTTCAGGCAGATTTGTAGAATGCAGAGAATGAAAGGAATAAAAAAGAATTAAACAAAGCCCGCCTCTCCATTTAATGAAACGCGGTTTCAATTACTTCTTTTACTCCGGCCAACTTTCGCCAAAGATTACTCATCAATTAACAAAACTATTTTGTTGGCCAGCTTTTCTATGTATAATCCAGAACAAATTCAGGTTCATTCATCATTTCCAATGCTAAGCAACAGGATGCAGGTTTCCCCTGAGTATGACATAAAATAAATTGGGTGCACGACAGGCTCTGGGTTCTCATTTTTCAATTATCAATCATCTGAACGGCGCTGCCCAGCCGTTCTTTCTCTCTATTTTCAACACATTTCTTTCATTTTGAGATCGCGAGATGGCGCTACAAGTCATAAGAAATTGGAAAAATGAAGTCTCAGTTCTAAAAACTTTTCCGAAACTTTCTGTTAAGTCAGAATTGTTTTGTTACACTTGCATTAAACCATAAAAGTTTGGAAAATATATTGCTGACTCATGAATATAATTTAAAACCTACTACACATTTTTTTACATAATAAATTATCATTCCATGCGAAAAAAAAAAAAAATTAAAATCCACCCAGTCACATCAGCTTTCATTTACCAGAAGGTGCAAAAAAAATTTGACGAAGTACCAATCAATTTTGAAATCAAATTATGATTATGTGGGATCGGCTTTAAATTCTAACATAGAAAAGAATAAGCATTATTGCCTTTCAAAATTCCCTCGCTTTTTTCTAAAAGAGGGCGCTATAAGCTATTTTGCTTTATTAAGCTATTTAGCGCTAAAAAGTGACAATAATTTAGGCTTATCAATTCCTATGAAGCAAAGAAAAAAATATATATTCGACAGTTATTTACTAAATATTTTAAACGTACCCAAATTATGAAAATAATAAAATCACGTTAATTAAATAAGTTCTAATTATAATTGTAATCATTTTTTCTTTTTTTCTTTACAATACCCTTTCAATAACAAATAAATATAATTTTTAAAATAAGAAAAATGGAGGAAGAAGAAAAAGAACCAATGTTGGCTGTAAATTTTTTTTTTAATCTAATGTGTATGATGTCTTAATTAGCAAAGCAAAAATTTAAAAGTGTTACAAAGTGTATATAATATGTATGTAATATATATCTTTAGAGTCTTCTTGCACAATACATTATTTTACGATTCTATTTATAAAAATGCGTATTTTTTTTTCGAAATGTGTCCACTAATTGTACAAAAACGATGCAAAAGATAAAAAATATGATTTTTTTTAACACCAGGTGGCAATAACGCAAGACTTTTATGGTGACCGTTTGAAATGGCAAATGAAACGAGTGAGCTTTTTCGTCGTCTAACTACTTAATAGCACGATGCAATCATATTCAATTTACCCAATTAAGAAGAATTTTGTCGTTTTATGAGAAGGCGAAACCTTTTCTGTGTCGCATTGCACCCAAAAATAAAGGCCTCGTCCACGTGTGTCTGAAGCTGTTTTAATTGAGAAGAGAAGTGTGAGTGGGCTAATTACTTTATTTCTGTGAAAATCAGGATTGTTGATTAAAGAGGGAGAGCAGCAGAAAAATGAAATGATGAAAACGCTCGCGTTTCGGATCCCAAAAATGTCTGCAGAAAGTTTTAGAGCGGCATTTGTTATTCTTTCTGGAGTAACCTCCCCCCACCTCTTCTTTCCTGATATATATATACACATATCCACACACACACATCCGCTTTTCTCACAAATGCTTCGCTTTTCAGAAATATGTAATTAGATATATGAAAATTCGGGAAAATTTAATTAGAAATTAGCCGTACCCCGCCGCCAGTATTCAAATTAGACGCACCAACACACATACATACACACACACTTGAAGAAAAATATAATTATCTCTTCTCTAATTTTGTGCATTAAACGATCATTAATTTTCTACTTGTGCTGTTCTCTCTCTCTCTTTTCTTGACGCTTGGTGCGATTAATGGAACTAGCAGTGACGAAAATATATTGTTATTCTTGATTAACATGCGCGAGATACGGGTTTATAAAGTTATCTAATTAGGCACATAAATATTGGCATTTCTTATTAATAGATGAGAAAAGGTATAGGACGGGGTGGGGAAGAAAGAGTGAGAGGACCAATCGCGAAAGAGTTTCGGTGCGGAGGAAAATTTTAATTTTTGGATTTTTGTAAAAGGGAGAAAAGGGTTGAAGGCGAGAAAATGGGTGAAGGTGGTGAATATTCGTCGTCTTGTGAAAACTGAATCGATAGGGGGGTTATTGCAATCGTTCGATCGTTAACGCAAGCCGTTTAGAGGGTGTTTGGTCGCGAAACGAGGTGAAAATGAGATAGATAAATTCATGAATACCCCTGATTAAAAGGCAGCCCGCGTAATCTGATAAAAGTTTTTGCTCTTCCCTTTACTTTTCAGTCGGGGTTACGCATTGTCTTTCTTCGCGTCTTAACTTTCCAAAAATCTTTGCGCGCAACTCTCTTCGTCGCCTGACAATTTACCATTAATTACTCTCGGACTTTTCAAGAAATGGATAAATCTCTCTTTTAGCGTGGCTTTTATCGACAGATCAATAAAGAAAAGTCAACTTGACTAGAAGGATTGGTTTCACTATATCAGAAAAATAGATATATTTATACGATTGGGTAATAGCCAACAAATATTAAGATGTTTGATAGATTTTTTTTTTAAAAAAAAAGAATGCAAACAATTACTTTATCACATGAAAAAAGAAAATACGTACATATTATGATACAGACATCAAGTATTGCCAATTTTAACAAGAAACTTACTAATGCAAACGATAAATTTCAATTCATAATCAATAGTATTGTTGCAAACGGTTCAAAATACTTATCCAGCTTGCAGGATTTATAAATATTAAAGATTGCGTTTGTAATTATTAAATAGAATACGAAGAGTTAACTAGGACAAAACATTTATTATGAATAAAACAGGTAAGAACTAACGGCAAGCACATAACACAAACGTTCCATGAGAATTATAAACAAGCCAACTGATGCCACTCACAGCTTTCAGAAATAAAGTAAATAATGCCGCGGTGGCCAAGAGTATCATTTTCTACAAGTATGGCTCTTATATTGTAAAATGCCAAGACATATTAATGAATTCACAATAAAACTTAAGAATACATGCTATTACTTTCACTGTGTTCGAAAGGATAATTGTATATGCATATAAAATAAGAAATGTAATGATTAAAGAATTAGACGAGAAATTTAAAGATAAATCTGTCAGCGATATTTGAAAATATTGCAACACTGCGTTGTTTAATAATTTCCATGTAAGAGGAAAAATCTTGTGGAATGGGCTGTAATTTAAAAAGTTTAAAAAATTTTCAAATAATATAAATATTTATACATTTTAAAGCAATGGCAATTCCTTTTATATCGCATGTATAATAGTAAGTTCGAAGTACCTTAAAATGTAAGAATGCACATTACGTAACATCTAATATATATAATTCTCTTACGTGGCTCCCAAATTTTGGCTGTATTTCTTTTCCGCCGGTGGCAACGTTTGCTTTGTTTTCTTTACGTTACTATTTCTCAAACACGGCGAATCGACCAATGATTGCCGCTAAAAATGTCACATGCCAAATCTAGCTGAGGTGGCTCAACATATAGCGCTTTT